TTTACCTGAGCAGCTGCATTGATTGTTGGATTGGCCTAAAAGGTTTTATTCGGTACATTGAATTGGCTTTTATGTGAAATATGTTCACGTCTTTTATTTACTGTAGAATTTTCTATATGTCACTCTGAGCTGCATTAAAGCACAGTTCAAACAAAAAGCTCTGACGTCCAACAGTTATGATCAGGTCGTTCAAGTCTTGTGTTATTGTTGGTCTCAGGCGCATGATGGCGTACGACCGTCGCCTGGAGCCCCGTGTGGGCGAGCGGGTGCCCTATGTGGTCGTGTACGGGCTCCCCGGCGTGCCCCTCATCCAGCTGGTGCGTCGGCCCATGGAGGTGCTGCAGGACCACAGCCTCCGCCTCAACGCCACCTACTACATCACCAAGCAGATCCTGCCGCCACTGGCCCGCATGTTCCAGCTGATCGGAGTGGACGTGTTCAGCTGGTACCAGGAGCTCCCCAGGGTGAGACGGAAAAGAGTTTGTTTTGTTTGTCAGGACCGTTAGGATTTTGATCTTACCTCTGGAATTTAGAATCAGTGCAGCTGAGTGCTGATGATGAGTATATAACCCACACAAAAAACCTTCAGTGAGGAAAGAATAAAGCAGAAGCTGCACAGTCGAGACAAACGTCTGAATGGGCTCCAGTTTGGAGAATTAATTTCTTATTAATTACTCTCTGTTTGACTGATAAGTGAGGGATCAGCTAACTGTTGAAGTCTGAGATTAGTCTGTTGCTTCCCTTCCTGTCAAACTAAAACCAGACCTTTTATAAGGTCTTTTCATTCAGTGGAGAGAGAACAAAGGATGGAGAGAAAATCTCTCCACTGCTTCCTGCTGAGGATCGAATGAGACTCATCAAACTGCAGCGCTGCCGCCTCAGTCTTTGTGTCAACACTGAAGTTAGGTTCTACTCAGACAGAGCACACATGCCATCTGCTGGTAGAGCTCAAAGCAGAGTTAATCAAAATAACAAATCACCATTGTTTATGGCCAATCCGTGTACCTTTTGTTTCAGTCCATTTCCCATTCTATGAAAAAACAAAGGTTTCATCACTTAATTTGAAAAAACGAAATTTCTGACACAAAATAGAATTTACAGAAATTGTCTAGGGTTAATAACCATTCAAGATCATTAACAACAGCTGCAACATTGACATTTCAGTTATACGTAGTCTGTGCCCAGTGTAGAAATAAGCAAAGAATAAGTGCAAGACCACATGTGGACCAATCTCCCCACCCTTTTATCAAACTTAGCCTGTTTAAGTTAAGCCTTTTTCAAACTCTAAACGTATTGGGTACTGTCTGATATTAATTGTTGACTTAATTACAATAGTACCATTTAATTCACTAAAATGAATACTTCCAGTTCATCTTTTAACGAACAAGATAATTTAATATTGTCCCGATTTTGTAGAAATAGAAACTGGGTTTTTCGTGTTTGACTCGCTGTATGAAAATCTGTAATAAGAAAACAACACAAAGGTACACAGATTATGGTCAGGAAAATTCTTAAACAATTTTATAACTTAAAGGTCCAGTGTATTATACTCAGGAGGATCTATTGACAGAAATGCAGTATATTATCCATAACTATGTTTTCAGAGGTGGATAAAGACCTTACATAATGAACCGTTATGTTTTTATTACCTTAGAATGAGCCATTTCTATCTGCATACACCGCAGGTCCTCTTACATGGACATGGCCATGTTGCGCCGCCATGTTTCTACAGTAGCCCGGCCCTACAGAGCGTGTTTCGTCACTGTTGAATACATCCGAAGAAGAACAGTAGCGTAGTAGTAATAGTAGTCGTCTGGTTTATTATTAGTAAGAAAAGAAGAGAAATTTGTTCTACGGTAGCTTCTCCTGCGCACTTGGAAAGGGAGGGTTGCACGGTGACTGATGTGGTGTCGGTATAATCAGAATCTTTTTTTACACAGAACTTTGATTCGTGCAAAATCATGTATTGTATATACATATTTAGCAAACATGTAATTTGTAATATGGTTATGACGGTTAGTTTGCTGTCCATGTAGAACTAGATGTGTGTGTGCTGTTTATATGCTCTGATAATGTTAATCCAACACGTTTGTAGTAGCACACATGAACACACACTGAAGTCGGAAGACTTCACAACTCGGGAAATGGGACCATCTGCACCATGAGCCCTCTAGATGCCACTAAAACTTAAACAATGAACCTTTGATCCAACTTTCTAGTTACAAGGCTATTTTTTTATCTTCGAGATAATCCTTAAAGGGTTGTTGGTTTCCTTGTCTCTGCACACAGATCCAGAAGGCCTCCTGCTCCTCGGCGATGGGTGGGGAAGAAGGAGGGAGGAAGGGAACCATTTCCCAGTACTTCACCACGCTTCATTGCCCCGTGTGTGATGAGCTGACCCAGCTGGGTGTGTGCTCACGGTGCCGCACGGAGCCCCAGCGAGTCGCTGTTACAATTTACCAGGACATGAGACAGTGGGAGAGTCAGCAAGACCAGCTGCTCAAGGTGAGAGACAGGGTCCCCCCCTAAAGGGGGACTAGAGTTGGGTGAGAATTCAGCACAATAGTTCAGTTTCTAGATCCAGACATATTTTAAGACCTAAAGATACTCTTTAAGTAATAATCTGTCCAATGTCTTTTTCCAGAAAAAAGTTCAAATACCTAGAAATAATAACCTAAATGTTCTTATGACATCCTCTTGTTCTCCCTTATGTAAAAATCCAGATTCTATGAATATGCCACTATTGTTCATTTCAAAAGTTAAACACAAGAAGAGCTTTCAGGCGTCCACATCATACTTGTTGCATGACTTGCTTCCAAACTACCATAATATTTCAAATAAAAGCCGGGTGTCAAATACAGGGGAAAACTCCTGTTGTTATATAATGTGCATGCAAACTAAGCGTAATGTACATTTCCATCGCTTTAATTGGAAGGTGCAATGTGTAACATATGTCCAGAATGTTATTTTAAAACACTGAGAAAAAGAACTAACATTATCAGAATGTGAAGTAACTGTTCTGACGTCGTGTCTAAGACGTCTATGTATTGTGTTGCATCAACTGAAGTTAGCATGCTAACGAGCTAGCCCTGGCCCGTCCTGTGTTGTAGTACTACTCGTGCCTCGTAGCGTCCAGTCTGCCCTCAGTCCAGCGTGAGGATGAAGACGTTAGCTTGTGATGCTGCTTCACCAATCGGCATCCTCCAGGTCTGAAAAGTGAAGCCAATGCCGGAGTGCCTTTAACCTGCGGCCAGCAGGGGGCTCCACTAGTTTCAAAAAGAAGTCTGTGTGTAATGAGCACTGATGTTCCACTGATGTGTCATACACCAAATTTGTTCGCACATATACTGAATTTTTACTTACTTTAACAGTTTGTGTAAAGAATGAATACAATCATATTACACAATCGTATCATATCAAGATGATATTCCCATTCGATTGCACTTAAAATCAATAAATGATTGATGATTGAGTTACTGTCCAACCTTATAAGCAAGATTTGACAGGTAAAAGACACAATTTTGGGAAACAAAATACTGCACCTGTTGCCTCTGCCTGCGTGCTGCTTCTCTCTAAACTGTATTGTGGAGATTAATGTGGAAAAATTGAGGACATCTCCATTCTTGAAGAGACAGTAAGGACCATGTCATCCAGTAGTTGCATTTCTACAAACGTGTGCTGTATATCCACGTTCATTAACCCAGCATCCATGTAGTGTTTTACTAGTCATATAGATAAAGCAACTTTGCAACTGTGATGTCACTCTTAGCTGGAGGGGTAGTAAGATTATAGATAATGAAATACTTTTCAGATCTTGCAGGCTTGTTCCTCAGCATTTCTACAGTATAAATAAAGATCACGTCAAATGTAGCGCAGCCTCAAGAGTGGAACATTTCTGCGGTCACCCAGCTCTCCTGTTTGTGTGTCCAGATCTGTAGGAACTGTAGCGGCTGTGCAGAGCGGCAGGTGCCCTGTGTGTCCCTGGACTGTCCTGTCCTGTACAAGCTGTCCCGGGTCAACAGACAGCTCTCCAAGGCCCCCTACCTCCGACAGCTGCTGGAGCAGTTCTGATTGGCTCCTGAACCCCGGAGCTCCCAGTCGATTTGGTGCTAATTGCCCCCCCCCCCCTTACCCAGTGTTTCATTGTCGATTGAGTTGTAATAGTTTAAATGGTGCTTTGAACCCAGTTGGGTTTCATTCTGTCTTGTAACTGTTATTACTCAGTATTTCTCTGCGTGTGCAGACGGTCTGGTGCGAGCCTCCTGTGGGGAGCGCTCCCTCCCTTCCAGGGCTTGTGTTTGTCTTCATGCTCGTTTGCCATCTCCATTAGCTGCTACGGGCCAAGTGAAAGCTGATGTCTTTGGTGACACAGCAGCAGATTGCCTGTCATGAAACTGAGTGCAGTCCAATCAAGGATGACTTGTCGTATCTTGTATGCGCTGTGGCAGTTTGAAGTCATTGGTTTTTAAGGAGCTCCTTAAAAATCTCAAGATAAACTACATTCAAACCACTAATTCTCTTCTCTTCATTTTTATATCGACCGCAGTCTTTTTGTAAATAGTTCCTGTATAGCTCCATCTATAACCTCACTGTGCATTAGCATTAAAAAGAACTAAAGCTCCGGCCATGAATGAAATCAAATCTGTTTTTATACATTCTGATTAAGGATGCCACTTTTCATGTTTCTGTTAACCTTGATTGTATTAATGTCCATTTTGGCAGATTTGATATTTCATACTCTCTCTACAGAGTGTGGAAACTGGAAACCATTTCATTTATTTTTAATCTGGGACTGTTGCAATACTGTATTTTGATAATTTATGTCATGAAGACTACGATTTCCTTGTGCATATATGGTTTCGTGTACGTTTCCAATTTTCTGTGCAAAAAACAAAACAAAACCTGTCCTCAGACCACATCGAGATCCAGTCTTCAATCCCCCTTACAGCCGTACACAGGATCTGTGTATTTGTATAAATGTAAAAAAATAATGATGAAAGTGTTTTTTGGTTTGTTTTTAATGGACATAGCTGTGGGTGGAGGTTTGAGATTGATATAATAAAAAGTCAATGTATTGAAATGCCCTCTGTCAATGATTGAGTGCCAAAAACAAATGAATCACAGTGACACCACATGACTTAGAGAAGCACAGGCCACACCACACGTTACAGTGCACGACAAACAGAACAATCTGAGCTTTACAAAAGTCTAACAAGAAAAAAAAGCTTTATCATCTCACACAAGTCCTACTGTTTATGAAATCACTGCAATAGTGCAAAATTAAATTACATTTCTAAAATTCAGGGTTTTTTGGCAGCAGGGTGGCGTGATGAAGAGCGCGACAGTCCCTGGCTCAGCTCATCCACTCAGCTCACGTGTCCTCGAGCAAGGCACTGAATTCTGCCAGCCCTGGGACATCTGTTCTCTAGTCTTCCCTGACCTTTGACCTCACTGAGGAGGGGAGCAGGCCTACACAGACTCTTTGTAGAGAATCAATGACACATTTTATTATGTATAACAATCTGCTGTGGAGCAGTACAGTTAAAAAAGCTGATCCTTCATCATCCAGGAGGGGTCCACAAGCTGAGTCTGTGCAAAAGTCAACATACTGTATGGGTGGTTTTAAGCTGCACAGGTTTCGGTCAGTAGTCAGTTTTGCATTCACTGCACAGTAAATCATCCGAACTCTTCATCAATATTGGAGTTTTCAGGTTCAGGACAACAAATGAGCACAGCTATGTTAGAGGCGTGGCTCTTCTAGTGTTTAGTGAGACATCAACAGAGGAAGTTTCAGTCTCTCTTCTCTCTGTCCAGAGAGAGCAGCACTTTGCATCTGGGGGAGTCTCCGACCAGGGGGGTGATGTCTGAGAAAGAGGCTCCACCTGCATGCTCTGACACCTGGGTGTTGGAGGCGGCGGCGCTCCCTGTTAGCCCAGTGACATCAGGAGGAGAGGCCGCCTTGCTGGGTGAACTGATGAGACTGGCCGTGTCATCCATTTCAATAACCTCAAAGTCTGCGTCGTTCCACTGATCGGCCTCGTTGTCCTGCTCCTCCTCCTCCTCGTCATTGGCTCCTGAGTCCAGCAGCGCCTGGCGATATTCGCTGTCGTCAGCGTCAGGCCGGCCCCTGGCGCGGGGTTTCCTGCTCTGGCTGCTTGGGGCCGAGGCCAGCTTGTACATGACCGGGAAGAGGATGGCGGTGAAGGTGGCGGTGATGAGTGACAGGTACATGAGCAGGGGTTGGTCCTTGAACTTCCCCAGCAGGAAGCCTACAAGAGCGGGCAACACCATCTCACCCAGTGCTGCACCCACCACGAAGGCAGACGCCGTGTTGCCCGTCACTGTGGTGTACTGCTCCACCCAGGAGATTCCGCTGGGGAAGGTGGTGGCCATGGACGCCCCGTACAGACCAGTGCACACCCAGACGGCCACGTTCTCCCTGCTGAAGAGGCAGAGAAGCAGAGAGGACACGGTGGAGCCCACCAGGCTGAGCAGGATCATGGTGCCCGGGTACATGCAGGCCGCAAAGAAGATAGCCAACCCCCTGCAGGCAGCAAACGCCGCCCAGAACAACGAGTTGAGCCCAGCCGCCTGGGACTGATTCATATGGGCGTAGTCCTTGGCGAAGGTGAAGATGAAGGAGCCGTATGCTACCTCAGCACCTACATATGCAAAGAAGAAGAAGAAAAGCAGGACAACAAGAGCCAGGTGATGCTTGGCTACCAGGGGCTTTCCGGACGACGTGCGGGCTTTGTCTTGTGACATGCTCCTGCGAGTGTAGAGGATGAAGAAGAGGAAGGAGATGAAAAAGACGAAAGAGCCGATCACAACGTAGGCCCACATGGATTTGAGAGTGCTGCTCCTGCTGTGGACATAGCGGGCGGCGGTGTGAGGGTCGGGGGCCTTGGTGATTTGTTCTGTGGAGTTGTCTGGTATGATTCCTGTGCTGCTGTTCCCGTCAGGCCCAAACACCAGCTTGGCTATGATCGGAGACACAAAGGCCCCGGCTGCGAAGCTGAAGTGCAGAGCCTGCATGTGAGGACCCGCCTGCTCCCCCCATGTGTTCAGTATGAG